GTCATGATACATTTTTCACCGTGTTTTGCCCCGCAAAATCCTTCATCCTCTGCCCACTATATGTGATTTATGATAGTATATGGAGAAGTAAAAAAATAAATTCTTATTAATAATTAAAGTAAAAAGTTGTCGTATCACTTTTATTATTGACTATCACCCAAAGAATATGTGGAAAAGAATTAACAAATTTGAACAACTTTTTCTAGTGTTAGCCATCTGCTCCATGATTACCCAGTAATGCTTTCTTAAGGCCATTGCACATGTGCTTCCCAGACATTATTCTGGCAAGCTTTGTTCTCTACCTTCCCTGTGTGTGATCAAAACCAGAGGGTCCAGTCCTGGAGCAAACTCGAGTCAACATAAAAACTATTTCACCAGTTACTCTGAAAATTAATAATTCTTAATTTCTTTAAAAAATACACGAGAATAGTTCATACTACATTACAGTGGTCCCTCGATTAACGAACACAACTGGTCCCACAGAGTCAGTCGTTAACGGAAAATATCGTTAAATGAATCTATTATTTCAATGGGATATTGGGTAATTGTTTCAAACTCACAGGAAAACTACATACAGAGTACTGTATACCGGTAATAGAATTAACAAAACATTAAATATAAACTAAATACAGTCCTGTATTGTCTAGTATACTGTACAATAATATATAATAAACAATAAATTATCTAAACTCTTAATTTGAGGTGTGTATGTAGTATTCCCGGCGGCTTTGTTTACATAGCAGCAGCGCAAACAGCTGATTGTAGGCGCAATCAATGACGACATGCCATATTCTTTACAGAATGCATTGGTTCTAATGCCTTCTTCGTATTTCTTAATTTCTGCACTGTATATTATCAGTATGTTAACTAAATTTCAGAATGACCAATAAAATTATTCAAGAGCTCAACAAACTCGATATTTACTCCACTGGAAACAAATGTAAACATAGAACCGATTACTGTATTAGCGGACTAGTCGATCAGTTGATGCACGCACCAAAGCATGTTTCTCGGAAGGCTGTCGTTAATAGAAGTTATACTCGTTAGTTGAACTGAAAATCTTTATAAGAACCAAGTCGTTAACTGAAGTCTCGTAAATTGAACTGCTCATTAGTCGAGGGACCACTGTATTATATTTTATGGCAACGAGACGAAAATACAGTACTGTATTAAATAAATTTACATTTTGTACTGAAACTAATATCTGATTTGACTTCACCGTTTGTTTCGATGATTTGTCACCACACATCTACATCTCAGCTCCCAGGTCGTCGTTGCTCTAAGTTTTGATACTGGCTGCTTTCATTCCCTCTGGCTAAACATTGCCTCCATAATCACTTTAATTCTCATCCTGCTCTCTCATTATTAAAGAGCCATAACCAACGTATCCATTGCTAGAATAGCCCTCTCCTTGCTGTATGCCATCTATCTTTTATAGTTCAACTGAGCGTCGTCTGCTAGGTGCGGGAATGCTGACTGCTCTGCCAATTTAGGGCACTGTGCTATCACTTATGGGAAGCCTGCTCCACCAGTGGCACCCCGTTCGGGCAAATTTGATAAAAATTTTACTTCGTGGAATTGACGTAAAGCGCACACGCGATGCATTTTGTGTACAATAATAAATTTTTTATTTGTTCTGAACAAAATTCTACAGCCAATTCCTGACCTTCAACTCGGCCATGCCTTCCTCTCCACTTCCTTGAAGGCTGGATGGTTCCTTTCATAGGTTTTTATTTTGTTTTTTGATAAACAAGAAAAATAATAATTCACTGTATGGTAGCTCACCATAGGGTTTGTTAGGTCGGTTTAATTTTTAAATATTGTACGGATCCGTTACGTTATGTCAATGGCTGGTATATGTACCTCCACACTTAGAGTTAAGTAAACAGTTAATTTATTGTTAATTTTAGTACCTGGCAAGTGATTCCGTAAAGATGATCTCGGTTGTAATAAATGACAGTTAGTAAAATAGTAGTGTTTGGTTTGTTGAGAGTTCTATCTTAATACTTTTGACTGTACTATATTGTACAATCAAAGAAAACAGTCGTGTTACACCCTCCTTGCGTTCTGTTCTGAAACCCAATGAAGAAGAATTTGGGTGAAGTGACTGTGAAACTTAAGGTTTGAGCCTGAATGGGGAACCTTGCCAAAATTCTCTGTTTTGAGTTTCAGAAAATAAGGCACGGTGAGTGTAACATGACCCTTTTCTTTTGACTGCTGCAAGTCTAGGAGGAAGGGAATGAGTGAGTTTTGGTACTAAGAGTACTGTATTTACTCTACTACTGTAGGTTTATTAAGCATTTTTTTCAATAAGGTGGTGTTGGTAAGCATAAAGTTTGTATATTGATCAAATAGGGACTCATTGTGATGACTAGGTACAGTCAGCCAAAGATACGTCGACCCTCCACCCTGGCTCTCGTACTCATAATTTCATCTGGCAATACTTGGTGAACTGAGGCTGTATGTCATGGAGATTGTGATTATACTGGATCTATTTCCAACTGTATCACTCAGCATAAATATTAAACAGTCCAAAGGTATAATTTTTATAATAATAAACTGTTTATTGTTATTTATGATCATGAGAAGCTTCCAAATGTTTGTATATTTGCTTTAATAATGAAGAAATTATATTAATGACTTGGCAACTCAACTACAACCATGGCTGCCACAAGATTCTCAGATAAAATTTTCTTCATTATTAAAGCCAATATACAAACATTTGGAAGCTTCTCATGATCATAAATAACAATAAACAGTTTATTATTATAAAAATTATACCTTTGGACTGTTTAATGTTTACCCTGACAGTGATACAGCTGAAAATAGATCCAGTAATCACAATCTCCATGACATACAGCCTCAGTTCACCAAGTATTGCCAGATGAAATTATGAATACAAGAGCCAGGGTCTTTGGGTGACTGAGCAGTGTTTTGACTATTTACTTTACCAATTTTTACTCAGAACCTTGAATGAAAAGGTCACACTATGGTGTTTTTATCTTCAATTAAGTATTTGGTTTGGTATATATTTGGCCTAGCGACCTTTTCACGTTTTGTACTTCCAAACTCATAACATGAATTTTTTAGGGGGATGTTCAGAATTCCCTGATAAATTGTTACATTCTCTGATTTGGGGATGGTAATACTGTACCAAATTGATCTCAATGCATTTTTTATTCTGTACTTGTTTTATCACAATGTATACAGTAATGATATTTTTAATTAGTGTTGCTCCTTTTCCTTCAAGTATACGGTATGTTTATTAGTGAACTGAAAATGATGCTTGGCATACTGTAGGTTTAGTCCATGTACAGTACTGTAGTATAGAAAATATTTTAAGTATTAGCCAAGAGAACAGCAGTTTACAGAAGCAATTGCTGGAGCAGCCAATAGTCTGCGGGCCGTATGTTTGACACTGTTGCCTTAGTGTCTGGTACTGTACTGATTACCATTAGGCAGACTTCACTTCAAGAGGGCAGCCATTACACCATCACCCTTGTTTTAAGAGGATGATTCTTACTACAGTATTGTATATACTGTATCTAAATGGACCATGGTTGTTTTTGTCGCCTGTCTTAAGGACAACAAACTCCTTAGTAAGACACTACTGTATACTGTACTGTGTACTATACTATGAGAACCACCTGGCTGTAGGCTCCACCAGAAACTGGGATATCACGGTCCAACCTCCATTTATGCTTTCCATGGGCGCAATGACATACTGGTGAAGTTCTCATGTAAATCAGTTTAGTTCAGCTATCTTGGCCAGAAGTCCCCAAAACAAGAACATCTCTGGTAGAGTGAATATTAAAGTAAGGGATCATACAAATACCTGTACTGTAGTTACAACTATAGCTACATCATATTTTATAGTACTGTACTGTCCTTGGATGACCACTTTATTATACAGCACAGTATTGGGGATTAGTCTGGAAAGCACAGAAATATTTAGAAATCTGTAAATTTTCTATGTCTTGGAAAAGTATGATAAGTCTTTCATTACTTTTCATATCCATGTTTTTATGCTGTTATTAGTATTGGAGTAATATTTTGTGTGCTAGTTTATATAGCTTGCCAAATTTGCACCTGACTTGCAATATGTAGGTTGTGAGACTTTGTGGGGTGAGCATGTGTTGTGCATGACTGGAGCCAGGTTAAGGGGATTAACGAATTGTGGACTTGATGGTGATGAGTTGGGAGAGGACGGCTGCCATCTACAACTGTGCTAGAAGAGCTGTGATGTTGAGTAGTACACAAGTTTCTCGTGACTGTGCAAAAGTGTGTGTGTGGCCTATCATCTTGTATTTGTTGTAGAGAAGTGCATGATATCCAGTAGACTTGGAATAAGATTACTGACTGTTTGGCTGCGGATTTCAACCTGCAAGTTCTTACAAGTGAGAGATATATACTTGTATACCTGTACGTACAGCACTGTACAAGGTACCGAAGAGAGCACTAATAAGGATGCAATACAGTACTAATCACATGATAATTGTATTAAAATATTTCAAAAATAATTTTAATAATATTTATAGATAATGAACATTACAAATACACAAGTAATGTACCCACCAGTGCACTCAGTTGGCACTTGTGTAACATCACCTAGGGCCTAAGGGTTAAGCATATTAAGGTGTAGATGTGTACAGTATTGTCTTGGAGCAGGTTTCTTGAGTTGGTGACAGTGATTATGACCTTTAACCTTTGTATCAAGGTTTCTGGCATTTACCAAAAAATGGCCAAAATGGAATGTACTTTTTCCCGAGTTGTTTTTGTTGTGACTCAATTTGAGCGGAACATTAACACAGACTAGACTAATATTGTTCTGTACATCATTGGACTTGAAAAATGCTTATTGAGAAAGCTGTAGTTTTACTGTACCCAAGTCTTCTTCATTTGAACATGTTTAACCTCTTTAATGTACGATACTAATATTGTGATAAGGTAATTCATTATTGCCATTATTTGATTATTTATCTTATTATTCCCTCTCTTAGTGTCGAGGATGCGCGAATACAAGATCGTGGTGTTGGGGTCGGGAGGTGTAGGTAAATCTGCTTTGACAGTCCAGTTTGTGCAGGGCATCTTTGTCGAGAAATATGATCCTACGATTGAAGATTCTTACCGGAAACAAGTGGAGGTGGATGGACAACAGTGCATGTTGGAAATCCTTGACACGGCAGGAACAGTAAGTACACTACTGCACTTTACCAGGTTTAGTCAAAGTTTATTGGTGACTTGTAAAAACAAAGTTGTGAAATTTTCCTTCTTGTTGTCAATGAAGATATCACACAAAGAAATTGAGGGCTGTCTTTAATTCTGTACAGTGGGTTATTTCATGTCAGATCACTTCATCAATAAATAGGCTCTGAAATTTTTCCCTTTTGTTGGCACTTTAGAGGCAGACATATCAGTTTGCAGTTCAGTGGATGACTGTTTTGGATTTATGAGTCATTGAAGATCTTGCCATGTACAGTACTGTAGTGTATGGCAGTCACTGTCAGAAGTAATCCTGCTACCATACCTGAGAGCTCAAGGCCTTTCTACACAATGGATTACAAAGTGAATAGGGAGAGTTAAGGGTGCATGACCCTGGTAAGGTAGGAGGGCACAGGTTAGGGGCCACATACATAGGCGAGTGTAATTATGTGGTCTTAGAGGTTGGTGAATGTATCTTAATGATGATGGCCTTAATGAGCCTGGTAGTTGATGGGCCTAAAACACAACCAACCAGGAGGGCGGGTGTCACAGACTTAGCTATATATTATGCCTTTACTTGAGATTCTGGGGAGGAATGTGAATTAGTTTTTGGCAGGTAATGTGTCAGTAGAGTTGATAAGGTGTTTGGCTTCTGTGAGGGAAAGCCCCTGATATGACGACGTAAGAGAGGAGGGGGTCGTGGCCTGCTCACCACTAATAACACTAACAAGGCTGTTACTTGATCACTTCCATTTCTCGCCACTACCGTTTTTGAAAAGCAAATCACTATTAAGTGATAATAAATAAGAATGAAGTGTTGGATATAATGTGACTTGTCCACCCTGTATTATGTTTACTAGAATTGTGAAAATCAATGAGAGGTGATGAGGTGGTGGTGGTAGTAGTGGTGTTGGCCACTGCTCCACACCCAGCCCAGGATGGATGTTAAAGAACGTCGATTGGCGAGTCTTGGACAAATTATAGATTCGTGCTCGATGGCTACAACATGATAGAAATTGCAAGGGAGGTTGGGGTCACTGCGAGCCGTTGGTTAACCCGTTGAGAGGAGTCTGGGAAACTGGCTACCTTGAATGTTTTTAATGGTTTGCTCTCATTTGACATATTAAAATGACTATTTTTGGGTGTGTAACATAAACAATACTTGTCTGAACTCCTATTTCATATACTGTATGATATAATTTTAGGCCGGGGAGACCGCGATTGACAGGCGAGTAGGCCACTAGACGGGCTATTGAGATTCTGTATGACATGTGTTGGTAAATATTAAAGATAAACGTGATTTCCAGCTGCATTTAATATTTCTCCACATTAATGTTGTTATAAACATCTAATTACCATTGATTAAAATTTGACTAACAAGCTGAAAAAATGATAAGTATAAAATGGATGACACAATTATCATAAAATAAGGTTCCTTATTTATTTCTCTTTCAAGCTTGTAAATCTAAGATAATACATAGTGAAAAAAATACTTCTTTCCTTCTTTCATGAATTTCCGTTTTCTTCGATCCCTTCCTACTCTGATGAACAACTTCTATCGCTTACCCCCTTACCCCCACCCCCCAACAAACGGCCCTCGACTATTCCCCTTTCCATCCCACATGACTTACCATGCAGAAAGTACATGTTCAGGCACAAAGGTTAAGTGGAGTGGATGATCACTATTGACTGCGACTGTACTTGGTAAGATCGTTTCACATTTAGTCCTGTCTAGCCATGTTAATTTTTTTTTTTTAAGAATTGAACAATTAGCAAAGTTAAATATCTAATGAACCGGATTTTTTAAATCCATTGTAATTATTTTCTTACACTCTGGCCAATGAATGTAAGAGTTAAGGTGGGTAGTAGTAGGTTTTAGATATTTCAGATTTCCCAAGCTCCATATTGTTTATACGAGATGTTGTCTGTTGGCCCTTGACTACTATTGCGAATAGGAATATTGTACAGTATAATTTTGCATTGAAGCTCTCCCACTGTAGCACACATTACTGGGATGGTAAGACTGTACTTTTAAGGTATAGAGGGGCACCATCTGAATGGATGATGGATCTGGATTCATTTTCTTGGGAATTTTCTAACGGTGGACTTGCTTGGATGTCATAAAGCCGAGATTTTTTTATTAGCATTGATTGATTACATTTTCTCTATTAAAACCCTGCCTGATGTGCATTACAGGGTTGGGTTCACTTACAAGTACAGGAATCCCTTACTATTCAAATGCTGTTAGGTCCCTTAAAGCCATTAGAGTTTGAATGCAAAAAAATAATATAAATGGGAAAATGGGGTTTAGTTCCTGAACAACAACCACAAATTAGAAACAGAATAAAATATGTAATGGCAATGACTGTTATACAATGGGGTTAGGGATGGCTGGATGGTGGCGAGCATAAAACTAGTTTCATTACCTTCAATTATGTTCAATAATTGTTAAAATGACTAAAAAATTTAATATTAAACTTATGAAATTATTGAATAGTATAAACTTTTTGATATTTGCTAAAATGGTAAGGAATTTAAGCCCTAGAACCGATTACTGTATTGGCGGACTAATACTACAGCTGGTGGACCGCCAAATGCAAGCAAAAGCATGTTCAGGTCGGCTCGTAAGAAACTCGTTAATCGAGGGATTGCTCGTTAACCGAAGTTAAGAATCTTATAGAGGGTAACTCGTTAACCGAGGGACCACTGTAGAAGAAATGATTATAAGGAAAAACTAAGAAAATACATTTTTTACATCCCCATGAGTGAGAGTGTATCGTGGGGGATGAGGTGTTAATATCTCGGCCTCCTGCTAAGCTGTGAGCTGCGTTATTGTAATTTTTCAACTCGTATTTTCTGGTGGAGATTTTTTTACGTGCACATACAATCGTTCATACAGAAGTGAAAAAAAATTATAAAGGGATTAAGCATTTATTACGTGTGAGAACTAGCACAACAGGGGGAGTGGTTCTCTCACGACTGTTGTCTCGTGCTAGTGGCAAAATTACCAAATGGTAACGCAGTGTTTTTCCCTTCTTGTTTATTATTTTCATATATTCCTAACATTTACTGGTACAGTATATACAGTATTATTTTATGTACAAAGAATAGCTTCTTCCACACACAAACCATCTTCCTCTGGGCAACATGACACGTTTACCTGCTTAGCCTGGCAGTCACCGGGGACAGACAGAACCTCCCATGCATCCCGTGTGGCTTGCACGTGCTATCCCATTCCAATATTACTTCATCATATCTCTGAATATTGCGAGTTATTGTACATAACTTTTCCATAGCAGTAACAATGCAGGAAAAACATTCGAATAGCGACCATCAAAAAATTTATCTTTAGCCATTGCATAGTGGTAAATGGTGTGAGATTTTTATTATAAAACTGATCGAGTGTAAATTGATCCATCGTATAATGGTCATTGCCTTTATATTATAGGGAGTCCCCAACATAGGAACACCCGACCTACAGAGTCACAAACTGGTGCTACTATTTTCGGCGGTCGGCCTCCACCTCCTGTTAACAACGGTCCACTGGTCTGCACCAATTTACTTTGTTGTTTAACAGCACTTTATGTACAGTATTTACCTTATTTGTTATGTTTGGGATAATATTGTTGTTTTGTATGGCCAGGGTCCTGTTTTAACCTAATCTAACCTATGGAATTAACACTGTTCTGACTTACCAACAGAAACCAGGAGTGTAACTCGTCCACAACCAGGGGTCTCCTTTTATACGTAAAAGGTGTCTGTGTAATTTCACCATTCTGTATTAAGTTTATATAAAAATACATTTTGGGATCACACGAAGATTAACCACACTAACTTAACCCCCCAGGTAGCATTAAGGTAAAACTGTGGTGTCCAGTCATCAGGTGATTCATACTTTGTACAGAAGGAAGAGCTAACGTACTTTCATCTTTTAGGAACAATTTACCGCAATGCGTGACCTTTACATGAAGAATGGCCAGGGCTTTGTTTTGGTGTACAGTATCACTGCACAGAGCACCTTCAATGATCTGCAAGACCTCCGTGAACAGATCCTCAGAGTAAAGGTATGCAGATTTGGTTTGTTTTTGCAAATATCAGTCAAGTCATAATCCACATTTATGGTAATAGTATACAGGTTGTACCTCTAGTCCGGCATTATGTGGTCTGGAAACTCCCGTGGTCCGGAATGATTTTAGTTTGTCTAATAGGTAGATAGGCAGCTTTTTCTTTTTTTTTTTCTTCTTTTTTCTTTTTTTTTTATCTGAATTATTATTACTATTATTACAGGAGTATTAAATTTTTGCCCCTCAGGCCCCAATGTGGGTCAGTGACCTATGCCCGGGTGGGCTAATCCCCTTAAAAAAACAACAAAGCCGCGGGAAATTAAGGTTTGTTTACATCCGGCAGTTCGGCTGCTCTCTCTCTCTCTGCTTGTCTATACAGAGTACAACATTTAACCCTTCAATATATATGAGCAGTAAATAAGTGTTGCTTTCATATTCTTATGTAGAGTAATGACGATATGTTTTCACATGTGCGCACTTACATAAGCGCACTCACTTTTTTTTTACCATTAATGGTTAGCGACTTATATTGTTTCATTTATTAATATTAAATAACATTACAGGTACTTCAACAACCATATTAATTTTTTTACATTAATTTTACTACAGCTACAATCAGGGTCTTATTTTCTTGTTTTATATGTAGAACCAATCAGTCACTGGTTTTGTAAGCTTTAACATAAACAATGCCGGCAGCCGTCTCGTCTCCTCTAATATTCCACGTATTATTAATAAATTGTATTGTTAATTTTACACACACAAACATTAATTCAATAAAAACAAATTCAGAAACATTAATTAAAAAATATATATGAACAGTAAATAAGTGTTGCTTTCATATTCTTATGTCAAGTAATGACGATATGTTTTCACGTGTGCGCACTTACATACACAATCTCTCTTTTTTCTTTACCATTATTGTTACCTACTTCTATTGTTCCATTTATTAACATTAAATAACATTACTTAAAATACCATATTAATTTTACTACACCTACAACCAAGGTCTTATTTTCTTCAATTTTATATGTAGAACCAGTCAGTCACTGGTTTTGTAATCAACGAAAACAATGCTGTGTCATTTCCTCGTGTGTTTTAATATTCTACGTATTATTAATGAATTGTATTGCTCATTTTGCACACAAACACTAATTCAATAAAAAAGACATTCAGTAATAAACCATAATGAATCTTTTGTACATGAGAGAAATGACGCTGTTTACACGATTGTGCACGTCGTCTGCACGTTGTCAGGCCGTTCAAACCCGTCGAAATTCAAGTTTCCGCCGTCAAAATTTTTATTCATTTTTTTGTGTGTGTATTCCAATAAAATATGTTAAGAATTAAAAACTCGCAAAATTTGAGAAACTACTATACGATATTTAACCCTTCAATATGTCTTCAAAGAGACCATGATGCAGAGAAAGTGGTGCTAGTGCTTCCAAGCATAAGCACAAGTCACTATCTATCCAGGAAAAGGGTGAATTTCCATAGTCCGGCACCGGTCAGGTCCCGAGGTTGCCAGACTAGAGAGGTACAACCTGTATCTCATTTACATTTATCTTTTAATAGATTGAAACTATTATTTCCTGACACTAACTCAATCTCAGGATCAAAAGTCACTTTGTACTAAAACATTTTCCAGGTGTTTCTAGAATTAGGTTGACAGCTGACAAATGTAGCCAGCATCTAATCTCCTCTTGGTGAAAATGGCCATGGAAAAGGTGGACACATCTTGAACTGTCCAGGGTTAGAAGCAGATGTTAAACAATCCCGTTCATCAGTGATATTAAAGACTTCACTTCATTGAGCAAAAATAATCATTGGTAGAAAATTTTAAATGCATTTTTAGAATCTGTAGCTACCATTTGCTGTACATTTATTTCCATATCTTTCATTGTCATGAAAACCTTACAAAACAAAATATTTGGGGGAATTTCTATACAGTATACCTGTATAGTTGTGATATATACCTGTATATCATTTGGAAAGTGGAGGTACAATGTAGAGTAAAACTTGATGATTTTTTGATAGCAACAGTTTCAGAGAGAGACTTCCTGTGTGGACTTAAGGTTTGTTCCTCCTGTCTTACTCTAGATTCTAGAGTCTAGAACTTCTAAATTGTGTTCATAGGACTAATTGTTTTGCTCTTGGTGCTTATTGGTTCACTTTTCTAACTGAATTAAGTGTATGAAGTTGCTCACTCCCAGCATAGGGGAAATTGATCCTGAAATTTAATTTTATAGGGTAGAGTACCTGAACATCCCTTCCTCCCACGTGGGTGCTGGGATGTTTGGTCCTGATGCTCACACAAATATGAGTGAGCATACAGTACCTGTGTTTATGGTGGGCAGGCAAACTCATCAGTGTTCTTCCTTCTTTAGGGTACAGTACTGTACTGTCTGAACCTTCATCCAAAGTGGTTTACAACCTAATGTGACGGTGATGGATGTTATAATATTCCAGTTTAATATTTAGACCTGTCATAACAGCTCAAAATTTTATTGATGGGTTTATAATAATTTTTATGCAGGGTGAATATGTATGTGATAACCTACTTTCCGTAAATTTGTTTGACAGGTAACAAGTTTAACCTTTCATATACCTGTACTGTAGTGCTAATCTTTTTTAATTGTATCCTTTGTCCCAAGAGTTTTTATTGTCGGGTCTATTAATACGTGAATAAGAATTTTTTGAACGAGACATTCACTTCTCACTCGGGTAGAACTGATTGATGCTTACATTAATTTGTTTAACACTCTTCATTACAGGATACAGATGATGTTCCAATGATTCTGGTTGGCAACAAGTGTGACTTGGAAGATGAACGTGTAGTTGGTAAAGACCAGGGCCTCAACTTGGCTAAGTCCTTCTCTTGTGCTTTCCTAGAGTCCTCTGCCAAAGCCAAGATCAACGTCAACGAGATTTTCTATGATCTCGTACGGCAGATCAACCGCAAGTCTCCGGAAAAAAATCTGAAAAGGCCTAGTGGTCGTAAACCATGTTGCCTCTTATAAGGTTGAATATTCTTTCATATTAAGAATAGGTAAAGAATGTTTGGATGTTACGCCTTCATCCTCTCAGGTGTAAATTTGGTTTTGTTCTATTGCCAAGGCATGCAGCAAGTTAATCATTCCTAGGGACTTTTAGGTGTACTTATTGTGTCATCAGCAATGGGATATAAGCCAACCATTGACAAGTTCAGTTCATGGCTATAAGTGATTAAAGCATAATTTCATTTAGTACTATAAAGAATGCTGTTGAATGTTTGTATGTAACTGACACAGACAAAGCAACTCCTGGGGGAAATATGCATATCTTGTCAATAGAAACTTGGAATTGAAAAGGGAAAAAAAGGCTGGTGCCACACATGAACTCACTATTGTTTTGCACGCCATGATACGGTTTGTATAAACCTTAGAGATGTAATGGAGTTCCCCTTAAAAGTACTGTATAATTATGTGTTGGAAAATGTGCTCGAGCAAGCTAAAGATTTGGTACTTGAGAGCACAGTCGTGTTATTCAGATGTTTCATGAATGTGGTTGGTAGTACAACACAATATTTGATCTGCAAGAATGTGATGTAGGCATAACTCCTGTGAACAATATTTGATTTCTTTAGTCTCTCATGATTCATAAAATTCACTGAATATCCATGATTTTTCCAAATTTACACTAGTCTATTTTTTCTAGCACAAAATTATGGAATGTAATTGTTACTAATATTCAAGAGATGATTTCCTTTTACTTGAGAGACGTAAATTCCACTATCCATCCTCATTATACCATTTCATAACATTTGTAAGATATGCATTACAGGCATACTTTGAAGTTTGTACTAGGCCTCTAAACCTTATGAATTCTTGACCAGTTAATTTGAATTCATGGGGAATATTTTGTACCTTTCAGTAGCTTGTAGTTTGTTACCCGCGTAAGGTTAATACGCACAAGTTGCTTATGAAGGGACCCAAGAGGCAAACATCAGGTAGCAGGAGGATATTTTACAAAAGGTTGGGTTGAACATGTTGCTCCAGCTAGTTCTTCCTAATGCTGGGAGTGTATCAAATCATAAAAGATCTTACACAGCACCAATACTTATTTTAATAAGTTTTGTGCCAAAGTGAGTTTTGGTGAAGTGATATGAACAAGATTTGCCACTTCCTGGTGAACCTTAAAATGTGGAGAGGAATTTGTTGGAAATTGTTTTCCCAGTCTTGTGTATATCTTTCAGTGTTGCATCCTGGTAATGCCTGCAGTTTGATGTGGTGTTGTGTGCTAATTGTCAACTTGATTTCTGCTCTGCTGTCAACTAATTGCTTTATAAAAAGGGATTTGGATAATTTTTGCCTGGAACAGGCAAATATGTACATACCTTATTCTGTATATTATGTAATGCTAGAAACAGTTGATATAAACCCGACTTTGCAACCCCCGCAAGTGCGGCTTAGGATGTGTCGAGTGAGTTCAGGACAGCAGAAGCTCCAACATGAATGGTTCCCAATATTCATCATCACCGTTCAGGAGCCTCGCCTCTGGCCACTGCCGCTCACCACCACCCATCTCCATCACCACAAACTGTTCCTCCATAAATTGTGAATGTTGCAATGCAACGCTTCATAATATTGCAATTTACCAATGAATATTCAGTATCTTATACATTATTGTTTTCTACTGACTTTAATGCCAATCTTTATCATGTAAGAATATAGACTATCTAAAAAATAGCCCTAGAGATTTTAAATTTAATTGTGTAAGGATTTTCTAAGTAAATGTGATATGTATTTGCATTATTATTAGCAGATAACTCTAGGGTCATTTTAAGATTAAATTGGCTAGTAATCCATCAGAATATTAGCAGCTTTATATACTACTGGAAAAAGCTTTACTGTTTGTTTTCAATCTGATAAAGTGAAATATATATCGTGTACATTGTTCTTCTGATTTTCATTTTCATCCTGTTTGTTTTAAGGAATTGTACTAGCTTACAAGGTGACTATAGAACTGTGTGCTTCTCCTACCCTCTCAGGGGTAGAAATTCACATACGCCCCGTCGCCCGAGGCGATCAAAATATCATAAGGGCGACGAGCTTTTACTATTTTGCTGGTCTGGGATCGTCTGATGGGCGAGTGGGCCAATGACAGTGGTAAGACACACTCAATGTGTATAAGAGCTTCAAATAGAGAATACTATTAATGCTAGTTATCTTAATTGTATCACAGGTATTGCAAGTGGAAGGGATACCCATTTTCTGTATATAGCACTTTATACGAAAATGAAAATAAAATATACACTCAAATATAACTCGGATATAATGTAGTGCGATAAAACTGGACAAATGAGTTGGTGCAATGCCACCTAGAACACCAGGCCAGTTCAGGGATTGTATGACGTCACGCACAGATGCCACCGCTATTCATGTCGGTGTATGGAAACATTGCATTGTAATGAATAAACGCAGTCTAATTACGAAGACATACTATTATTATTGAGGAATTCACTTGTATACAAAATATATAAAAGCAATGACAGCGAAATTTAATACCTGAATGTATAATAGGCAAGAATAAAAACAATTGACAAGTGATGAAAACTGCCTTTCCATCAACAATCATGCCATTTATCAAAATATATATATATATATATATATATATATATATATATATATATATATATAGATAAAATCACACGGAAAAAGGGAAACAAGGGAGCACTGTAGTGGCTCCTCTCCCCAACTGAGCTCCGGCCTACCAGCCAATCACCGTACAGCTCCGCCGAGAGACTAGGTCTATGCGGTGGACGTAGGGGTACGATCACCGACCTAGTCTCAACCTTCAACCTCCAGCTCAGGATCAGAGCGTTTCACACCTTACCCTTAAGCCGCTGTGACTGGCCTTCTCGCTACGCTCACCCCAAATCCTGATCCTCGTAAATTGTATAAATACGGCCATGCCTGACCAGTCTACACTCGGCTACCGGCCCAGCAACATCTATCACAGCTCCTCACCCTACAGGACCTCTGAGCAAGCTTCTCCTTACCTAGTCACTCCTAAGCACTGCACTGTACAATATATATACAGAAAGTGCATTGTGAGTTTCCTTCCTCCATCCCATCCTGAGTGTGAATACAAACAAATTATACCCCACAGTACCTCCGTTGTTTCCCTTTTCCCGTGTGATTTTATCTTATCCACGCACACACACACTGATTAAAGTATAATTTGCTATTGTCAGACACGGAAATATTTTGTGGGAAAACTTGGGTTGGTAAGTGGAGTTTCCTGTTTGAGAGTGGCACCACTGTCTGCCCTGACACCTGACACTGACAGTTGGTCCTCAGCTGCTGGTCACTCTAGGGGTGTCTTCACGCTCTGGTGAGTTACCAATATTTTCCTACTTTTTCATCTCCAACAACATTTCTATATTATGATTTACGCCAAATACGACTTATAAACAAACTCTGTCTCTATAGTGTCGAAGGATTATTATTTTTTTTTTTTAATATAATGTGAGAGGATGTGCTTGTAGCCTTCAAACATCGCTATATTGTGATTAATTAATTTACTGAGCACCAGGCAGACATGTATAAAGATCTTTTATAATATAACCTTATCTAACATTCACTCTAAGATGACTATCTGTACAAATATTGAAGTAGAAGTATAGTTAACAGTATGACGCAATATTAAATAGCTGCCACATTATACCATCTTAACGTATCACTTAATATCCATTTACAAGATTACCTTAAGCAGTAAAAAAGTTTAAGGTAAATACTTGTCTTAATAAAACAATTAGTTCATACATCTAGATGCTTATATCCTCACTAATATAGTTTAGTTTGGTGAAATATATAATTATTCACTCACAGATGAGAGACATTACAATGCATCAGTACACAAGGTTTCAAGTCGTCTTCAGAATTGACGAAAATCCTGCCCTACCAGAGATGACCAGAATATTTGTGATAACTGCAATGGAGGTGAGGATTTTTACTGTTTTTAGTGGTTTATTATGGTCCCCGAGATTTGCTGGAGACTGTCAGTTGATAGGAAATGTGATATGTTCAAAGAAGGGCCACCAGCTACCCTGAGAGATTCGGGCGCCTGCAAAGTACCTATCTTAGACTACAGACGGGCAAGGGGGAACCTAATTGAGGCTTATAAACATCACAGTGGGCAGTACATAGAACAATCTGCCAGAGACTTTGATGTGACGGCACTGAGTGTGAGCTCTTTCAAGACCTGGGTCATAAACTCCTGCGGTAGTGATACTCTAAAGACTTACGAAGTCCACAACTCGATTTAAAATGAATGACTCTTCTTCGTAACTTATGGTGACTTTTGAGACCTCTGAGCTATTGTTTAGCGGAAATAAGGCCGTTTTCTCTACTATACTACCCATACTAAAACACAGAGTTGCTAGATGTACTTCACACTCATTAGTTAGAATTATGATTGAGAGAGAGAGAGAGAGAGAAAGGTGGTAAAATTGAAAAACTCGTCACATTTAAGAAAAAAAATCACAGGTTCTTGATTTAATACAATCAGTAGTATTATTTAAATGCACCTAACCTTAACATAACCTAACCTAACATTACCTAACGTTACCTAACCTAACCTAACATAACCTAACCTAACATTACCTAACGTTACCTAACCTAACCTAACCTAACATAACCTAACCTAACATTACCTAACATTACCTAACATTACCAAACCTAACATTACCTAACCTAACATTAGCTAACCTAACATTAGCTAACCTAACATTACCTAACATTACCAAACCTAACATTACCTAACCTAACATTACCTAACCTAACATTACCTAACCTAACATTACCTAACCTAACCTTAACATGTTATATCTAACTTAACCTAAACTTACCTTTCCGTACCTAACCTAACGTTTCTATTTTTGTAATGCATTCACAGAGATAATCAAAGGTTAAAATTTATTATAGTGCTACATTTATATATCATCAACAGATTTATAGATATATTTGAGAAATTATTATGAAAAAAAAATGTTATCTCTGCAAACGTATTTTTTTTAAAAAGTCGTTAAAATTTTTCTTGAGGTTAGGAAAGGCTGCTAAGGTTAGGTTAGGAAAGGCTGCCTAGGTTAGGTTAGCAAAGGCTGCTAAGGTTAGGTTAGGAAAGGCTGCCTAGGTTAGGTTAGCAAAGGCTGCTAAGGTTAGGTTAGGAAAGGCTGCCTAGGTTAGGTTGGCAAAGGCTGCTAAGGTTAGGTTAGGAATGGCTGCTAAGGTTAGGTTAGGAAAGGCTGCTAAGGTTAGGTTAGGAAAGGCTGGTAAGGTTAGGTTAGGAATGGCTGCTAAGGTTAGGTTAGGAATGGCTGCTAAGGTTAGGTTAGGAATGGCTGCTAAGGTTAGGTTAGGAATGGCTGCTTAGGTTAGGTTAGGAATGGCTGCTAAGGTTAGGTTAGGAATGGCTGCTTAGGTTAGGTTAGGAATGGCTGCTAAGGTTAGGTTAGGAAAGGCTGCTAAGGTTAGGTTAGGAATGGCTGCTAAGTTTAGGTGTGCCATCTTGATTCAAGGGTGTTACGGTTATTGTGACAGTGTAGTCTGGACTACTGAGTGGACAACAGTTGAACTGAAGTACCATTCACCACATTTTCAGTTGCTGTCATAAGTGAGTTTTATCATCATTGTATTTGCAGGAGTATGAAGGGACGTCAATGGAGGAACTTCGGCTCCATTACTACCAGACCAGACCAGTGTGTTGGTCACCTGAAAAAGACACCACCACCGGAGGATCATCTGATGCTGTTACTGTTACAGCTGATAGTACAGCAGCCATTACTGATACAGCTGATAGTACAGCAGCTGTTACTGATACAGCTGATAGTACAGCAGCTGTTACTGATACAGCTGATAGTACAGCAGCTGTTACTGATACAGCTGATAGTACAGCAGCTGTTACTGATACAGCTGATAGTACAGCAGCTGTTACTGATAAAATTTTTGGTTATCATCCCCCTTGTTACATTGGTAGAGCAGATGTTAAGGCTTCAGCTAAAGATATTCATACTTTCTTTGGTACAGCACCTGTTACAGACACTAACATAGGCTTTGGAAAACCTTCAGCTAAAGAACCTTTCTCTGTGTTTTGTAAAATTCGTGTTCGGTCATACGATCCCTCACTCTTTCATAATCCTGTTGCAACAAGAACCAGTACCTCCTCACTCTTTTATAGACCTATTGTAACACATACCAGTATCTCTTCATCCTTTTTTACACCTGTTGTAACAAGTACCAGCACCTCTTCACCCTTTTTTACACCTGCTGTAACAAGTACCAGTACCTCTTCATCCTTTTTTACACCTGCTGTAACAAGTACCAGCACCTCTTCACCCTTTTTTACACCTGCTGTAACAAGTACCAGTATCTCTTCACCCTTTTTTACACCTGCTGTAACTAGTACCAGTATCTCCTCTCCCTTTTTTACACCTGTAAGAAGTACCAGCACCTCTTCACCCTTTTTTACACCTGTTGTAACAAGTACCAGTATCTCCTCACCCTTTTTTACACCTGCTGTAACTAGTACCAGTATCTCCTCTCCCTTTTTTACACCTGTAAGAAGTACCAGCACCTCTTCACCCTTTTTTACACCTGTAAGAAGTACCAGTATCTCTTCACCCTTTTTTACACCTGTTGTAACAAGTACCAGCACCTCTTCACCCTTTTTTACACCTGCTGTAAGAAGTACCAGTACCTCCTCACCCTTTTTAACACCTGCTGTAACTAGTACCAGTATCTCCTCACCCTTTTTTACAACTTGTGCCACTAGTGTGTCATTCACAAGTCCTTCACCTGCTACAAGACAAGGATTATTTTGGTCGGTCAACCACCACTCTAATACCCAACTTTCAAAACTGGATACAGTGGCTGCGTGTACTCAGACGCCAACAGCATCACAGACATTATTTGAAGGTAAATATAGCATAAGGTGAGTGAGATATTTATTGTAGTCTCTCTCTCTCTCTCTCTCTCTCTCTCTCTCTCTCTCTCTCTCTCTCTCAGAGTTAATAAACACAATTCGTTCCAGAAGGTCGTTCGTTAACCAAAAATTTTGTTAACCGAAACCATTGTTTCAATGGGATTTTGGGTAATTGGTTCCAGCTCACCAAAAATTATATACAAACTAAAAATAAATGCAGTAAAGTACACTTACTTTGAGGTGTGCATGTAGAAGGCTCCTGGTTGATGATGGGAATTAGAAGTGGGGGTGGAGGAGAAGGGAGAAGAGAAGGAAGTGGGGGTGGAAGAGAAGACACCCCATGCTTCATGTTGCCATTTCACCCATAAAATTTTAGTTCACTTGTAATTCAAGATTGTTTTCTTCAACTCAACACTGTACTGCATTATATATTGTCAATATGTAAAATAAACTTCAGAATGACCAGTAATTGTACTGTAAAAATGTAAAAATAGTTTATGTTTAAGAGAGTCTCAAGCAAGATGCTTCCTCCACTGAGCAGGGACACACACTGAGGGCCATTTTGAGTGAGTCAAGTGGCTGTTTGGCCCGCTAAAAACTAGTTCCCTGTACTTCAATTATGTTAAATAATTGTTAAAATTACTAAAAATTTTAATATAAGACTTGGAAAATTATTGAATAGTACAACCTTCTTGATATTTACTCAAATGGTAACGAATTTAAGCCCTAGAACGGTATTGGCCGACTTATACTACAGCTGGTGAGCAGCCGAAAGCAGGCAAAAACATGTTGGGAAAAATTCGTAAGGAATTCGTTTACCGAAATTTTTTCGTTAACCGAAGTGAAGATTCTTCTGGAAGGTAATTCGTTAACCGAAATTTCGTTAACCAAGGTGTTTGTTAACCGAGGGACCACTGTATTTAGAAACCCATTATAAAAACTTGTACGGGGGTCTCCGGATTACGAAAGGGTTCAATTTCTGAGGATGCTGTGAAGTTGGATTTGTACATAAGTCGGAACACATGCTAAGTGTATACCGTACTTATGGAACAATATTTAAAATCCCACTTCAGTATATCATAACCTAAGTCCTTATATACATCTAAAATCACTTGATTTAAGACAAAAATAAAAATAGAATGACAAAGTACAGTAAATGAAAGTAAAAATTAAGTCAAGTAAATAAAATACCGGTATTGTAAATTTCAAGTTTAAAGTCGTTCGTGTCAGCGGGCGTTCGTAAGTCGGGGACCCCCCCCTTTACTGACCAGACTGGGTGTTTTGTGTTGGCAGTAAAAGCACAGTACTGATTTTATTACAATACTGTAAATATTATCTTGCTGTATTCATATAATTAAGTTGTAATCTATAAATATTATCTGACCTGTGTTATTTATATACAGAACAGTCTATGCTGAACCAATTGTAAACTTTGATGAGAATTTTTCTGAATGAATATTTATCCATCTACCCATCTGTCTATCCATTCATTCATCCATCAATCCATCCATGTGTGTGTATGTACAGTATCTATATATTAGCTATCACTGTTTGCATAATAAAGTGTTAATCTACTCAAACCTTTACAGGGCTCAACATAGAGGAACACATAACTTGCCCCATATGTTGCCAGATGTACCAACTTGAAACACGAGAACCTTTGGTGATGTCCCACTGTGGCCACACCTTCTGCCGCTGCTGTCTCCTCACTGTGGTTGAGAGAGATGGCATCACTTGTCCCACCTGCCACAAGCCACACAAAGGTCTTACTTTATCTGAGATGCCGGTCCTGTTTTCCATTCTTAGCATATCAGAATCTTACAGGAAAGTTAAAGTAAGTTTTGTGTGTGTGTGTGTGTGTGTAATAATAATAATAATAATAATAATAAACAGTTTATTTATAGAGTTGCAGCCGGTGGCTGAAAATATACAGACTTACATTTGATTTAGACATAATGATATAATATGCATTGAATACATTTATAGGGCTGTACAGTACAAAAATCAGGAGTTGTTTATTATTTTAACAATAGATGGGATGGTGCTGTTCTTATATCTATCGGTGCAGGCTCTTATGGGCTGAATTTTGTTGTAGTGGTGGACTGCGCAAGTTGGGTGGGGGGCTGCAGGTGGCAGGAGGTGGCGATGGAATGTGTGTGTGTGTGTTTTCTTTATACATAGCTCACTTAACCAAACCTCCCCATATTTCATCATATACAGTATAATGTTAATCACATACAGTAAGCCCTCCTCTAATGCGAGTTAGGTGTGTGCTGTGACGTCACATTGAGAGGGAGTGCAGCCACACATTTACATATACGTAGCCATAACCTACCGCCTCAACATACACACATCCCACACACATACTGTACACACCCAGGCTCTTCATTTTTCTTATTTTATGATTTTATATTATATTTTCTTTATTTCTAAGCCACATTAGACTACAGTAAACCCTTGTTATTTGCCGGGGTTAGGTTCCAAGGAATGGTGCGAATAGGCAAAACCGTGATTAGCAACTTGTATTACCTTGATGCACTACTGTACACCTACAGAGTAGAACGGTGATTTAATGCGAATCGATTTAAAATTATCGATTTGAAGCGACACCAACAATTAAGGATAACGTGTCAATTTAAAGTGAATCTTTCCTATTTTACGCTAGTCAAATCTGACGCGTCATATGGAAATGCATACTCCAGTATTTTACGTTTCCCGCCAGACGCCTCTCTGGGTACGCCACAAGGCTGCTCACCACCCTATGACCCCGCACGCCCGTGGCCCCGCATCCTCAGTACTCGCGCTGACGCTCTTGTGAACGGTGACTTGCCTAACTAAAAGTGGGTGAAAGAGCATGGTGAGTGGTAGAGATGGAGTGAGGGAGGCAAGCGGTGTGCGGCGCCAGCGCGACCACCCTCTCATATCAGCTGATCGCTGGTAAACAGACCATTTCGCGTCCCGTAATTTTAACTGTGTTTATTCTAGGAGATGGGCTGAGGTGCATCTGAGTAGATTCTCAATCGGGACAGGAGGAGGGCCAGTGATGCGAGGCAGCAGACAGTGCATTAACAGTACCATCCAGCTCTCAACTAGTCTTCAGGGAGTGTGTTGCATATATATCATTATGCCATATATTTGTCTCATATTTATTAGTTAATAAAAGTCATTCTAATATATTCTGTTTATCTCAAGTACCAAAATAATTGATCCCATTGAAACAATACTTCAATTAAGTACAGGAAACTAGTTTTTAGCGTGCCAATCAGCCACTTGATTCACCCAGAATGGCATCAGTTTGTGTCAGTTCTCAGTGGAGATAGCATCTTGCTTGACTTCTTGAACATAAACTATTTTTATGTTTTTACAGTACAATTATTGGTCATTCTGAAATTTATTTTACATATTGACAATATACAGTGCAGTGTAGTGTTGATTTAAAGAAAATAGTCTTGAATTGCACCATGTGAACTTAAAATTTTATGGGTGAAATGGCGACATGATGCATAGGGTGACTTCTCTTCCACCCCCACTTCCTTCCCTTCCCCCTTCTCCTCCACCCCCACTTGTAATTCCCATCATCAACCAGGAGCCTTCTACATGCACACCTCAAAGTAAGTGTGCTTTACTGCATTTATTTTTAGTTTGTATGTAATTTTCGGTGAGCTGGAACCAATTACCCAATATCCCATTGAAACAATGGTTTCGGTTAACAAAATTTTCGGTTAACGAACGACTCTGTGGAACGAATTATGTTCGTTAACCGAGGGACCACTGTACCATATTTTGCAGCATATATGACACACCCCCATTTTAGCAGGGAGTATTTAGGAAAATCTTTTGTGTGTAATGTATTTGGAAACAGTAATTTAGTTTATATGCCCCTCTAGTACACAATAATGTTGATCATGTGTAATGTTAATCATAAAATTTTTATTCATATATTATGTTAATCATATATAATGTTGATTCTATTTTAAGTTAATCTTCTGTAATGCTGATCTTATAAAAGTGGACTCAGTTTAGGTAACCTGTTGCAGGAAGAAGCAGAGAAGAAGTGATCAACACCCAGCTGTCCCTTGTCTCTCATGTAATGTACTGTACACTGAACCAAGAGTTGCTCTATAGACTGTTCCATCAAAACACTCGCCACAGTGAACAAGAGTTTGATATCTAACCCTTACAGGCAGCTAGGATTTCCCTACTCTGCCCCCACCTGTCTAAAATTAGAGTGCATGGAATATAAGATGTCCATCAATAATGGCCAGTCCCTGCAGTTAATTTCCACTGATGATCAGTGGTGGATCCAGACCGTCTTATATGACTTCTGGAAGTTGGTCGGAATTTGGGAGAGTATTAAAAAAAAAAAAAAAAAAAACACTCTTTTATTGTGATCAATAATAACCTCCTGCTAAATCTCAGTCGGCTAATCTTGCGCCCTGCTACGGAAAATTCCACGACCAGCCACTCCCCACTCCAGCCTGCCTGCACCCTCGCCTAATCCCAGTAGCCCAGTTGAACATCAACCCTTGGTGTAGACTGACCTAGTGTGACTTAACATATAGCTTCAGCAGCAGCTACGTCTGGAAGAAAGCAGACTACCACCAACTGTTTCTTTTCTAAGAGGTGAGTTAAATTATAAATACCTAAGTCATATACTCTTCAATTCAAGGTTTACCTTATTATTAAAATTGCAAAGATAATTTCTTTTCCCCATTGTAGCAACATTACTCACACTGGTAATCAAGCTCCCTTATATGGTTTGTGTACTCCCCATCCTTAGATGGAGCATTCTGTATATACTTTGGTCATAGAACAGGCAAAAATTCCTTAAAACTAGATAAACTTTTCAGAACCCCTCTCACAGATTGCTAATGAACAAGCACAAAATACAAGGACCATCAAGATAATTCACAGCTTCATAAAACATCAGTTGTAATGGGTTCATTGAAAGACTACTCCTGTGATTGACCAGCCAACCAAGGAAGGATAGAAACTAAACTCTACTCCGGTCCATCACCAAAACCATCATCCTTTGTGGAAAGCAAGGACTGGCCCTACGAGGACACAGAGGTGATGCCACCACTGAATCTGGAAACGGGAATCTTTCAAGTGCTGCTTGACTTCAGAGCAGAGGCAGGGGATAAAATTCTTAGAGTACTTTAAGAAGTGTCCTAAAAATGTTACCTATCGCTCAAAGACCACACAGAATGAACTTATAAATATATATGGCCAAATTATTCAGAAAGAAATCGTGGACAAGATAAGAGAGGGTGGTGGTATATTTGCTGTGATAGCAGATGAGGGTGTTGATGAAAGCAGTACTGAGCAGCTGCCTCTGTTCCTAAGATTTGTTGACAGTGAAAGACAGATCAGGGAGGAGTTTGTAGGGTATTATGAATGCCAGTCGGTTACAGGAGAGGCCATTGCAGATATAATAAAAAAAAAAGCTGTATGTGACCTTGGACTTGATTTCAACAAGTGTATTGGCTAAGGATATGATGTGGCTGAACTACTCCCAGCAACAGTGAGAAACTCGTAAAGTGAACAACATAACGTATGGGATTAATTGAAATAGAGACCGGGCCGACCCCCAAACTCCACTTTTTCAGACACAATACCTACGTTGTAGTAAAAATAACTTCTTAATTTTATGTTGGTATGCACACGCAATTAATAATTAAGAGAAATATCAGTAATATTCGGTTTTTTAACACATTAAGATTGTGAGAAATCGAAGGACTCCGGCGTCTTGGAGCGATGAGAAAACGGACGCCTCAGATGGGAGACTCAATAAAGAAGGCATAGCTACATGTTTGTGGGCTATTGAACGTAATATGAATAGTCTGATTTTACGTTAACTGACGTGTACGACTGTGGTCATTACACTCAAACATATTGGAACAGAAAATTATCTCTGAGTTTCTACAAAAAGAGTAGCAGGGTTATCCAAGTCATTTGGGGTGAACTCGTTTCTCCAGTCGATGTCGCCACAGTTAAAGTCCCCCATGATAAGGAGGTGGCTGGGGTTGAGCATCGCCTCGTTGTCTATTATGGCTCTTAAGTTCCTTTGATTTAGTGGGCCACAGTTTGGGGATCTGTAGATACACCCAACAATAAGTAAGTCCCTTCCTTTAATTTAATTTTACACCACTTGGACTCTTCAAAAACATCCTCTCCCTGTACCCTCGCCTGGCTGGCTCTAAGGTCTTGCCTACCATAGATAACCACTCCCCTCTTGCAAGTTTCTTGAGAAAGGTTCGTCAATGAGCCACGAGCCGGTGCATGCCCAGTATTTGCCAACAGTACGTAACATAGACGTGACCGATTGCCCAAGCGGCTAACGAGCCGAGTAGTAGTGAAGAGGATAAAAGTAGAATAATAATAATAAAAAGATATGATTAGGGTTTTTATTTATTTATTTTTTATTATTGGGCATCCCCCTACATCCTTGTCAGGTGAAGCGTTACAGCCCCAACAGGGAAGCATGCTGAGTTCATGCTTGCCTTTATGTCTCATGAGTTAAGGGCGTAGAAGCCTGAAGAGTCAGTGGTTTATGTCATCAAGTTATTGGAAGCTCCAACAACTTGTCCCTCAATGCGAATTAGCAACTTTCGACTTACACCAAGTACCTAGTTTACTGCCAGGTGCACAGGGACTAATGGTTCATGGTACTCTGTTTAACCCAGGATTATTAAATAAGTTAGAATTTTCCCTTTATATAATTTTTTTTTATAATTCTTTGAAAATTTTGATAAAATACGGGTATTAAGTGATTATTAAATCTTAATAGCAAATGTATTTCTCAATCTAATGTTAACTAAAGACTAAAAATTATAATATAAATTTGGATGTAAAAAACAAAAAATATATATTACAATAAATAAACTTCCATATAATTATGATATTAACGTAAAATATATTTAATCCTGGAACTGTAATATAAAAAAAATAATGTGCAGCTGTGCCGTTCGTGGTAGTTAGGTAACACTGCACCATAGGGACCCGTTCGTGGTAGTTAGGTAACACTGCACCAGGGACCCAAGCAGCTGACGAGTTTGGAGTCAAGGTGAGGTGTTATAAATTCCTCCTTTTCCTTCATTTCTGTTCATATATGCTCTGTAACGGAGATTATTTAATACCAAGACATTCATATAGAGGTATTGAGTAACTAATGACGGGGCATAGATCTGACTTAACTATATATTCCCTTAAGCTGTAGACGGTCGGTCACTACAAAACTTTTAGATGTCTAAATTTTACTTTTTATCTTCATCTGTGTATTAGTTTACAAGCTTTTGGCAGTGTTAATAGATAATCAACTTGTAGTACCTAGAGAAAACTTATATTGACGTGTTTGGTGGAATCACATATGACCTGAGCCGGGGGATGAACCTGGGACACAGTAATCAGTTAATATTTTAATGATATTGATTTAACCTTTTAAGGATGACACTTAAACTTTTAAGGACTAAAATTTAGGTAAAATTTGACTTGTTGCCACTATACGAAGTGAAAGTTGAAGCTTTTTCCTTTTTTTTAATGAACGAATTTGACCAACATTTCTGGTGCATATCAATAGTTTCTGAGATCAAACCCCCCCCCTATCTCACAATCTAGAGATTTGCCATAAAAATCAAAATAAAGTGTTCAAAATACATCGAGAACCATTGGCAAAAGTTTTCAACCTAACCTAACTGAGCTGGGGGTTCTGGGTGTGTACTCCCATTCATAATAAAATGTTAAATATCTTGCTAATATGTAATTTGCACCAGAAATTACCGATTGCACAATGAAACCTCTATTTAACGGACTATATGGTAAGGAAGTTCCATTATGTCAAGGGCCTGTTAGATGTGAAACCTCCATCCAATGGATTACAGTACAGTACAGTACAGCATTTGGATATAAAAGTATGTTATGGAGAGGTCTCACTGTAACTTGTAGTTATTTCACAAACACCGACACAAACTATTTAAAGATGAAAAACATTTTAATAAAATATATCAAGATGAATATAGTGCTGCTAAGGCAAGTTTTCGAAAAATGCCATAATTATTGTATAATAATCCTGTCAATCATTATCCCAGCATGGTAGGTGGGGAGGGCTTGAAGCAGAGGCAATATATGTACTGTATGGTACTGTTTATAACCAGTGCCCATAGTCACTTACGACTCACCATAAGTCCATATGATCAACCTTAAGGTTCAATGAGTGATTCACTAACATCTTATGATAGGGTTGAAAAAATCATTTGATTTAAATCAGATATTTAGAAAAAAAAATTCTGCCCCTTAGAAACAATTGTACTGTACATACAAAAATTTTTATCATTCCCAAACTGTACTGTTGTGTACTGTACTTGTATCAGTAGACTATTTAAACATGGTCATGGCATTATGCCCAGGAAAGTAAGGTACCCTATATTTATTGCAACAGCCAACTAAAACTGTCTGTTTTGACAAAAAATAATAATAATTCACATAAGCTTCTCCAAAGAACTCCTATTAAACAAGTGTATAGTAATGTTCTACAGTCAGTCCTCGACTTACGACGGGGTTAGGGACCAACGACCAGGTCGTAAGTCTGGACCTCCACCCGCTCTCTGCGTAAATGACCAAATTCACCACGTAATTAAAGCATTTCAATTCTGGCAAGGCACCGCGTAAATGACCAAATGCGTTAACCAAAACCGTGTAAATCCAGACTATACTGTATATGAATTTATTTCCAATGTATCAATATTAATCAAACATTATGTGTGAGCCTATTAGCTTGTACCGTCAACCGAGAAAAAATCCGACTATAGTACAGTACTGTACAGTACTGTACAATATGAATAACCCATTTTTTTAATTTTGTATATATATTTACACAGATGGGAGGAGAGGCACACTTCAAGGCACCTGACTGGCGCATCTATAAGGTTGAAAACGTACCCGAGTTGATGCAAGTGCAGCGGGCCCTTGCTTCACATGGATTAAAAGATCCTTGGCTAAGGTGAGTCTTATATACATTGTGAGATAACTAGTGTTGATAATGATATTGAAACAGTTTATTTAGCCAGAAAAGTACAGATACAGAGTGGATAATAATAACAATATTAACATGGCTGAGCCAGTTGAGAACCTGAGCTCTCTTTGAGGCACCTGATATATACTGTACTGTACATTTATCTCAAGGAAGTATTATGTAACGTTTGATATCATCTGGAATAGTGCACGTA